GTGGACTCAATCTGCACTATTTCTAGCAGTCTGCAAAGGCCCTAAGTCTCTGGAGCAGCAGAAAACAAGCATGTTCCGTCCTCAATATGACATCCCTTTAGTATTTAATTTAAACATGGCTATCACCTCTTAACCTTTGCTTCTCCGAGCTAAAGATACCCCACTCCCTAAGTTGCTCCTCTGCACTTTGATAACTTGTATTCAGAGAAAATGTCAGCTCTAATCCTCAAAAGCCTTACTATGGAATAGTTCTATACATTTCAAGAGCAAGAGTTTCAAAAGCAGATTAACTACTTTTTCTATTACTTTACCAGCAAAATGAGGGGAGAAATTTAAAAAACCGACATTTAGGCAAGGCCTCTGTTGAAGCATAACAACATACTTCTGTGAGTATATGACATGATCAAAAATCCAGAATTCAGCTCTCTGAATGTCTCTCAGTCTGAGCCACAAACAAATGATTACAGTACAGTGGACCAGCTGACAGGCCCGGGTATAGAAGAGAACAAGTATATATCAGTAATATGAACTCAGCCACTGAATAAACTCATTCTCACACTCTAGCTCCTCCCCATTATCCCAGCTGTAGCCTTCTCCATAAAACCTGAAGTAGCCAGTAATTACATAAAATATATATCATTCTAGCAAGACATGTCAATACACAGTAGTTTAGTCCATACCATCTAGTTTCGCTGCTTTCCTCCTATTTGCCTTTCATAATGTACACCGTACTGTAATTTGTTCATAATCCAGCTATTAAAGTCCAAGTCAAATTACACTTACTCGACTTTAGTGAAAGATACAAAGTATGCTTAGGAATGCAGCATCAAGCTCCCAGTTCCTATTTGCTATAATGCTCCTTCTATATTCAGACACAGACACACAAGAGAGACCATTTTGTCTGTTCTCTTCCAAAGCTCCACTCTGTTTCTAGCCAATATTCTCCTGCTTCCTTGGCTTTAATTCATGAAGCCTTCCTTAGTCTCAGGCCCTCAACTGATGAGCTCCATCCATAGTTTCTCCTCAGCTAAATTCTCTTCTATCATTTACAACTACCTGATAGCCTTTCTTTCAAAAGAGCTGCTTCCTACTTGTCTGATGATTTAGTCAATTACTTGACTCATTTCATTCCAGGAAAGTTACAGATCTAAATATTTCATGCTATATTCGCACTGCAGACACAATCCTGTTTGACATTACTTTAATTGCCATGGCTCAGAGTTATGGAATTCTGGGAACTGTAGTTTTGTGAGATGTTTACTAGCCTTCCCAATGAGGGAGAGCTGGTGCCACAACAAACTATGATTCCCAGAAATCCACAGCATTGAGCCATGGCAGTTAAAGCGGTGTCAAATTGGATTATTTGCGCAGTGTGAATGCAGCCTCAAACTACTTGACATTAATTTTCTTTAGTTGCGAGCCATCTGTCCTCCAATGACCACTCACTTTTCTTTATGGGTGGGAAATAAACAAAAACAAAGTTCCAATAGCACTTAAAACAATATAAAACAAATTTGTCTGAAACGATTTAAACTGTTTCATTTTAGTCTTTTTAATTTATACCTTTTTCTTATTATGAATTATATCATAATTATAAAATTAAACAAATTTAAAAAATATGCATGCACACTCTCTCAGCCACAGAAAAGTGGAACAAAAATCATACACTAACCACAATTTAAACTAAAACACTGTTGTGTGTTTTCAAGTAGTTTCCAACTTATGATGACCCTAAGACAAACCTATCATGGGTTGTTCTTGGCAAGATTTGCTCATCTTGAACATCATGAGATGGCATGACTCACTAGAAAAGACAATAATTCTAGGAAAGGTATTAGAATTTGAATTATCATCTCCAGTCATAGTCCTATAACATTGGACTATGACTCTGGAGACCAGAGTTCAAATTCCTGCAGAGCCATGGATACCCACTGGGTGACATTGGGCAAGTCGCACTCTCTCAGCTTCAGAGGAAGGCAATGAATGGCAAACCTCCTCTGAACAAATCTTGCAAAAAATATGATACATTTAGCTTGCTGTTGTTGTTGTGTGCCTTTAAGTTGTTTCCAACTTATGGTGACTGTAAGTCAACCCCAACGTGGGGCTTTCTGGGCAAGATTTATTGAGGGGGTTTGCCATTGCCTTACCTGAGGCTGAGACAGTGTGACTTGCTCAAGGTCACCCAGTGGGTTAACTTAGCCAAGCTGGGATTCAAACCCTGGTCTCCAGAGTCGTAGTCTAACACTTAAACCACTTCTATCATCGCTCTAGGACACATTTCAAAATGTTTTTGTTTACTTATATTAAGCCTACCTGACCTGGTTGTTTCATTTTATGCATGCATATTGTTGAGAGAGCCAGCATAGCATTTAGTCTTGGTTGGAGTGCCGGACTAGGACACTAGGAAACCAGGGTTTGAATCCCTGAGCAGTCATGGAAACCCACTGGGTGACCTTGAGCAAGCCACACTCTCTCAGGCTCAGAGGCAATGGCAAACCTCCTCTGAACAAACCTTGCCAAGAAAACACCATGACAGATTTGCCTTAGGGTCACCATAAGTCAGAAATGACTTGGAGGTGCACAAAAACAACAATGTAAACAGCAAGTCTGGGGAAAAATTAGGGTTTCTGTGTAGACAGTTGCAATTGCTCTACAGGCGGTACATGTGAAGTAAATTAGCTCTGTAAAATGTGAATGAGAAGAGCCAGTGTGGTGTAGTGGTTTGAATGTTGGACTGTGACTCTGCAAACCAGGGTTCGATTCCCAGCTCGGTCATGAAACCCACTGGAGGACCTTGGCCAAGTCACTCTCTCTCAGGTTCATAGAAAAACAATAATCCTAGGAAAAGCCTACAGTAGTAGAAAGAGAGGAAGAGTGAATATTGGACAATGACTTTGGAGTTGTTGTTGTTAACTGCCTTTGCATCAATCTCGACCCGTCCTCTGCCCAGCTCCTGCAAACTCATATTCATGGTCTCTTTAATAGTCCGTCCATCTAGCATGTGGTCTTCCTCTCTTTCTACTTCCTTCTATCTTTCCAAACATTATTTTTTTTCCCAACGATTCAATGACCTGGCCTCAGTGGTACATGCCTTGGATACATCCCGTTTGGACTACTGTAATGCGCTCTACTCAGGGCTGCCTTTGAAGAGTGTTTGGAAACTTCAGCTGGTCCAAAGAGCTGCAGACAAGCTGCTAACAGGGGCAGGTTACAGAGATCATACAACACTCCTATTGAAACAGCTCCACTGACTACCAGTTTGTTTCCAAGCCCAATTCAAATTGCTGGTGATGACCTATAAAGCCCTATAAGGCTCAGATCCAGGATATTTGGCAGACTGTATTTTCCCTCTATGAGCCGGCCGGGGCTCTGAGATCCTCAGGAGAGGTACCTCTCTCCATCCCACCAGCATCACAAGCATGATCGATGAACACACAAGAGAGTGTCTTTTCCATGGTTGCCCCTAGACTCTGGAACTCCCTGCCCAGGGAACAGACCAGAATGGCTCTTTCTTTGATGGCCTTCCACTGACAGGCAAAAACCTTCCTTTTCAGACAGGCATTCAAAACAGAAAGCTTTTAATGAATGTATTATTTTTGTATGTTTTTAATGTTGTAAGACACTCTGTGTCCCAGTCCTGGGAGAAGTGTGGGACGTAAATATAATAATACTAATACTACTAATAATAATAATTCCTTCTCATGATGTGTCCAAAGTATGACAGTCTAAGCTTTGTCCTCTGGGCTTCCAGGGCCATTTCTGGCTTGATCTATTCTAGGACCCATTTGTCTTTTGAAGACTAGGGTTCAAATCCCTGCAGAGCTGTTGGTGGCCTTGGGCAAGTCACACTCTCTCAGCCTCAGGGGAAGCAATGGTCAAAAAACCCTCCACCTCTCTGAACAAACCTTGCCAAGAAAACCCTATGACAGGTTCGCCTTAGGGCTACCGTAAGTCGGAAACAACCTGAAGACACACAACAAGAAGTCAATAACATCCGGGGAC